TCAATATGTCCACATGGACTAGCCACCTGAGCTGCCGGCACTGTTATAGATGAGACAATTTCAGACGAATTGACCCCTATCGACCATCTTAAGTTTTTTTGTAAAGAAAGTGTAAAAAATTGGCCGGCTGCTTCGGACGTAAGTGAAAAGCTGAAAATTTTCGTGCGGATCATCTAACGGGCCACTGATTTATTCCGTTATTTGCCTACACTATGGTGTTGAGGAAGCTCGGAATAAGACAATTGGGTCTTAGGTATAGCGAAAATTCAACTGACCTAATTTTAGGATTCGGCGACCACTCAAACACATAATAATGGGTCTGGCTCCCTATATATCAACCAATAGGGTAATAATGGGTCTGGCTCCCCATATATCAACCAATACGGCGCAAAACGTCCAGCACACGACTAGCGTGTGCTTCTATATACATAAAGTTATGAGCTTATAAACGCCCTTCAGTCTGTAGAGGCATTAGGTGCCCGACACGCAGCTTTTTGTAGATTTGCATGGGCTCGGAGTCATGGCAAACTTTGAGCGATCTATCATCGCGTGCACTCGTGTGCGGTTAGAGCGGCGTATAAACCCTTTGTTTCTAAGGAATGCGTTTGTTTTAGAGCCACGCACAAAACATTTTGTTGCCATAAAACCTGTACCCCGGTGGTACGCCTGGGCTATATAGGCAAAGCTTCAGATTAGAGTAGCCCATATTCCGTATGTGCGTGCTGACATGCATCCACACGATTTGTAGCTGCACATCAGGAGGATAGTCAACAGTGGTATTCATAAGAAATTAAGAAAAGAAGACATAATTGCAAGCTGAAGTATTAAAAGTTATCTTCATTTTCTTCATCACTGTCACTACTTCATGAAGCTCTTTCTCCAGTGCCACGACGCCATGAATGGGGAAATATTATAGTCGGTGGCAGTCTGTTTGGCTTGTAACCCAGGCATTTTGGCGCTCACAGGGGCTCCATCTTTTCGCAGAGCATTTATCCAATGCACAATCTCATGCTCAGCGTCAACAGGAAGAATAGTCGCACTCCCTTTCGACCGCAGGTACTTCCAACGAGCTAGACTAGGAGTAGCACACAACGTTTCTAGCCGTTCTCGCTCTTTCCGCCACTGGTAGAGTAGCTTTCGCTTCTGTTCTCGGGCGTGGCCATCTTGGCCTCGGAAATGTTAAGCTAATGTAGTGTCAGCATCGTGTTTACCAAAAAAGGTAACAATCTCGAGCTTTGTCGCGTTGGTGTAGCAAGTACGGGAATACTTTGGAGTCTTGCGGCCGTTGCCATTGACGCGAGGGCGGCCCGGTGGCGGTGCTCGCATGCGTGGCTGTTGTTACTGCGCTGCTGTTGCTACGATTTTGCTAATGACAATTTTGTGGCTCTGCTGAACTGTCGGTAAGCACAAAAGCAGCGACTGTACGAAAATACAAGACCTCTGATTGGCTACTTGGTTGTGTCAGTAAAACGATTCCTTCGGTAAATACATACGAAATACAGTGGCTGTTCAAAATGTGAGTCAAATTGTTTTGTGCACACGAGGCAAAGAATGACACGAGTGGGATTCGAACCCACGCCCGAAGACTGGTGCCTAAAACCAGCGCCTTAGACCGCTCGGCCATCGTGTCGTATGAAGATTTTGCATACACCTTGCATCCACAAATAATACTTCACCTGCGTTGTGGAATGAGTCGAGTAAAGTGCAAAACAGGGGTTTGAAATATTAGACCTTTCGCAACCACTTTTGAGATGAGTTTCAGCGCACACCAAGACGAACTGCCGTCATCAATGTCAGACTAGAATGATTTAATCCGACTGCTTTCGCAAAGTGCTTGATTTCAGTCTTACACCACCATGATGGTGTCCAGTATCGACTATGAGTGTCGAGTGTAGTGTCTAGGAGGCAACAGATCTTCTGCTGATTGACTACCTGAAAGCTTTAGCGCCTGCTCCTTCTTCTTCATGTGTACTTATTCTAACGTACTCGCCCAATTAAAATCCCCCGCTTTCAAGTAAACTCAGACATGACTAGATATAAGTTAAAAAGGACCAGTACAAAGTCCTTGATTATCTTTTTCAGATAAATCTCAATATCGAAAATGTGAGTTGATGATCTGCTACTTCAAAGACCGGACTACACTAAGGCGCGTATGTTTGGTAGTTTCTAAGTGCATGCATTCACCGATCGTGGCAACGATCAACAAAGGAATCGCTTTAAGATTCTAAAGGCCGCTGTACTCTTGCACCGGAAATAATGGAAGCATCATGTTTGCCTGCGCGAAGCTGAATAAGGTTTAAGCTAATTGGCCAGTTTCCTCGATCAAATTGTTTTTGAATATTGTATTTGACGGTACTACGGTTTTCAAAGTTTTTGCGGAAACAACTAAAACGTGGTTGCGAAAAGTCTCTATGACGGCAAACCTAGACTATTTTCAAGACAATCTTTATGGTCACAGCCAACGAGTACCAATTTGAACATCCCCCCTACTACCCTGACACAAGTGATATCTACTTACTCGCCATGGAGGAACAGGCAGACTGCTATGTAATTTGAAATGTATATTGGTTGTTCTTTAAATAATTTAGCTGCTTCCCTACGTTTTAATTTTACTAATCGGCTGAAATTATGACGCACAACAATACGCTCATCTGACCATGAAGATTGCTGAACCAAGATATAACAGTCGCACTAGTCGTCGTGGTGTTACTCCTTTACAAATTTTGGTTGACGAATGCTATCCAGTCTTTCTATAAAAAGTGAAAAGAATTGTCGTCCAGAAAATGGTCGTGGGGTGGGGCACAGATGCGCCCATCATGCTAATCCAGCAAATAATGTTACAGAAGCACAATACGAAGGATTCGTGTAGGTGAAGGTCCAACAGCTATGAAAGCTTTGGTAGCTGGCATCTTGATGGCGGGTCGGGTAAGATTTAAATTTTGTGATTATGGATAATATTTTTATCAGACAAACCGCAACAAACTCGTCTATGCCAGCAGCGTTGGGCAAACTTCCTTGCTACGACGTGCAACACAGGCGCGTGTGGCATAGTGGTAAGTCAAATTCAAAAATCATTTGACAGAGAATGGGAATGAAAACGAGTTTGGTCTTGCGTTTGAGCATATTGGGCAACGAGCCAGGCTCGCCACTCCGATGGAGTATCACTCGTTGTCTTGTCATGTGCAACCTTTACGCAGCTGCGCCATATTGACGACCAGCAACGACAGATCGATGCATCAACTAGGCAGAGAGCGAGCACGAGTGTAGTACCGTTTAAACAGAGGGTCGCTTCATATCGAGAGCGATCGGGTGCGAGGCTGCGTAGCAGCAGCAAGCCCGCGCGGTATTTGCGGAGGTGGGCCCAGCCTCGAGCTCAACAGCGAGCGGACCCGTTGCGCTCTCCAGAACATGTTTTCTCTTCTACGGGGGTCTGGAGGTACAACCCCAAGAATTCTGTTCCAATCTCCTGATCAGTTCCGTATACGTACCATTTCGGAGCTAGCACTGAAGACTTACCAATCATAAACCTAAACAGGTCCAATAGGTTTATATGATCGGTAGAATATCCGAATAATCAAGGAGGCAAGCAATAAACGTAATCTGGCAATGTCGGTTCTGTGCTTTTCCCAGCCGTTGCTTACAACACATTTCGCCCACCTGAAATTCGCATCGAAACGACCAAAACTTGGCAATACTTTGCGCCAACTAGCGTTCATTATAGGCACGCAACACTGCACCCAGAGGAGAAGATAATCGATCGCAGAACCAAATACATCAGACCAATTTCGCAGAAGCGCGTTTCAAGACGATTACTGTCTTACACAGCCGTTGTGGCGTGCGGTGAGAATCCTGGCTGGATCTTGCGGGTGCCGTGACTAATGAGTCCAGCAATCCATCGATTCGTGTCACAATGCATATACCAAAAAGCCCTTGGCTCTTCTGCACAAGCACCGTCCAGCAATTTAATCGTACTTATCGGAGGCGAGGCGCTTTCGGAATGGCAGTCTTGACACCATTCATCTATGGTCCTACCACGTTCAGATCTACTCAAGACAAATTTGGCTTTTTGATTATTATTTCGTGCTCTGGATTATTGCCACTTTAGCTCATCCGCAAGGTTGCAAAGCACAGCCCATGTAGTCATCTTTCCAATGTCCACAGAACGCTTTTCGCAGTGCTTGTACAGCTCAAAAAGCGGAGTTAGTGTACTAAGTTGATTGAGCTGAATTCTCGAATACCTAATAGTCGAGATTTTGTTTTTAGTGCGTCCAGTTACTAAATGATAGTTCAGAGTTAGCTTTCGCCTACTGTCCCTTTCGATGTATACGATCCATTGCAATTAGAGTGGTTTGGTTCGCTTCCTAGGCGTGCGACAAGTGATCCAAATCGTGTGATCATCCTTTTCATTTAATTGTTAAACGTTATCAGATTTATACTTGGTTTGCTTAAATATTAAGCATCCGGATGTCTTATGGATGGAACTTATGCGTACGTATCATTTGGCTGCTCTCAGGTCGAGCTGAGAATGAATGAAAGTTGTCATCCTTACCTAAATAAAATTAGCTTTTTATCTGCAATTATGAATCGGATTATGAATCGTGTCAACGCAGATATTGGGTAGTTGATCATTTACGTCTTCTTTCCAGGGTTGGCTTCAATTAAGCCGCCCCTGCAAAGCGAAAACTGTAAATTCATTAAAAGCATCATAGAAACTGTTCGAGCTGTTCTCAGAACAGGTATGACCTTCGAAGTGTGGACACGCTGGAATACTTACTTATTTAGTCGAGCAACAACTGGTTGCAGTGAAAGGTGAGAAGATTGCGTGCGTAAAGGCAGTCGAAAAATCAACTTTTCTGTTGCGACCTGGTCTGATTTAAAGCCGACCCCATAAGACAGTCATTAAATTGGAATTCGTGTTTGGGTCCTAATCCAAAAATCCTACGCCAACATTTTAATGGGATCTCAGTTAATTATGCATGTGAAAAGTCGATATTGTTGTAGTCGGCGTAGTGTAGTGGTTATCAAGTCTGCTTTACACGCAGAAGGTCGCCGGTTCGAACCCGGCCGTTGACACCATTTTTAACGACTCAGGGCTTAGAACGAAGGTCTTCATTTTATTGTTGCGGCGCCACTTGCGCCACGATGTTGGCATTTACTCAGCGTATCGATTGCTGCATTAATCGCTGGTTTTTACAATGGACAATCACGGAGACTGCCTCAGGCTTGAACAACATGCTTCTTTGCGAGATAGTATCAGTTAGCCAAGCTCACGCCTAGGATCCTACAAAAAACGACGATGAGATTCATCACACGATAAATATCCGGCAAGAAGACTTGTAGCTTAAAAATGGCTATTTGAGCAAAATTAATATCTTAACTCAATGAAATAATAAATTGCATCAGGTGGTTTCTTCAAGAAGTTTTAGATTAATCTCACTTCGGAGCTGGTGCCTTAGCGTTCTTATACCAATATTACCAAGCGCGACGCAATCAAGACTGCGAACGCGTTAGAAAGCTACAAAGCCGCATCAGGTAGCGAAATATCCCTCGCATGACCCTTCGCGACTGGATAGACGATAAGGAGAAAAATCGTGAGCTTCCAGGTGCCTAAACAAGTAAAACCTTTAAGTGACAGGGCGCGGCGCCGCAAAAGGGTTTAGTAGCATTAAATGCTACGAGTCCATTCGAAAGTAAAATTTTGCTTAGTCTTTTTTAAGCTTTTTGCTTGGGCCTTTGAAAAAAAGCCCTCATCTTTTCGTATCTAATCGGGAACAGATGGCCAAAACGGAAATCTCGTCCGACGGAGGGTGAGTGATGGCACAGCACGCGGGTAGCTCACTGTATGAGCCTTCTAGGAAGCAGACCACACAGGAGTGCCGGTGAATAACAATAAGGAAGTGGTTACAGAACTGGACTGGCCTAGATAAGCGGAAAAGAAGTGTAGGCCGAGAACCAAGCTTCGAATAGTTGTGAAACCCAATCTCGCAGTCACCCTTTCAAGTAATTCTAGTGCCCGTTAAGCGA